CTCCCCCCACCCCCTCCTCATATCGGTCCAAATTAATGTTCCCAAAGGAATTCTACTTAATTAATGTTTTGCTGTTTTGCTATCGTCTTTCCTCCCAGTCATGTTGTGCAATCATTTTATTTTAGGCTATATTTTTAGCCTATAACTTGTGATTAAACCTTTTAACCACTGCTAATTTACTATGACATTAAGCATGCCCTGTGCAATAAATTAAATGATACCATCATGATGCCCGTTGGTTGATTCAGAATGCGGTTCGCCTGGCTGGCACCTCTCCCAGGTCACAGATGTGAGTTTTTATTTTTAAATTCCCACCCGTGGACCAATGGCCAACCCCCCAGGCCCGAGCATCCCGAAACGGAAGTTTTCGTTTGATGTCGGAAGTCCGACCGAAGAAGAAAGCAAGCACAACAAAACACAGGCGGACAAATCATGGCGCAGCAAATCGATATGGCAGAGGAAGAGCGGGATTTTCAATTTGATTTCAGTGTCGAAGACGGAAATATTCTTTGTGAGGAGTTATTGCCTTCGACTCTTCCCACAAAGATGTCCAGAAGACGTCAAACAATTCATGGGAATGAAATAAGAAAGGTAAATTGCGTACGGTACACTCCTGTAGCCCAATCGTCGCTCGCACTCGTACCACACCTTTGCCCTTTTCGCCTTCATTCATTCACCCTCGCAGTAACCCGACTAACCGTGCCGTAGCCGAAGGTGTTGTAGGCCTTGATCTAGTGGTGGTAGGAGGGTGAATCATAGCGGGGGGTAGTGGGGTGCATAGGTTCAGGCTCAAGTAGAACTGTCATCCTAATTAAATAAAAACTTTTGGTTGCTTGTAGTAGGCGCATTGATGGCTGATCTTCTAGATCTAACTACTGAGCCTACTCAAAGCCCAAAACTTGAATGATTAGCCATTACTGAGAAAAGAGGTTGGTCGGGTCTGAGTCACAGTTACTAATTAATCCTATGGCCTACTCCCTAGGCATTACTTCCAAAAGGCTAATTAACGACAGTTATTATATATATATATAATGAAAGTGGCTATTCTCACCCGACCGGAAGTTCTCGCAAGATCAACTCCTCCCCTCTTCTCTCTCTCTCTGTCTCTTTCTGAATACTGTCTATCGGTGTGGACGATCAAATTGACCAAAACAAATTTAAAAAATGATGTTAAAACACAAAAGTAAATTAAATTGGTTGTCTACAAAGATGCTACGGCTATTTAACTTTTCGAATCGAGCCGAACTACGCGGGTCGCCATTTTGTTTTGCCCGGAAATTCTCGCGCTACTCCTCTCTCTTTCTCTTTCTCTCTCCACTGCACACAGACAAAATTGTACGCTTTTAGTAGGCTACAGTTGTAATGAATGGAACGTTTGTTCACGGCACAGAATTCTACAATTTTTCTGTTATCACAGTGTAGAATTCTGTGGTTTAGGGTGAACGCGCACCGGGTGAGAATAGCCACAAGACTCGCCTGCACTATTCTCACTTCGGATGAGAATAGAGGTGGCCATATATAATTTATATATTATAAAGGGCTTCCTAAAATAAAGTGTGTGTGTGTATTAAATTGATGAGATTTTCACACAGACATATTTGACGAAATGCAACGTCATAAAATCTATCCACACTGCATTTTAATTAAGGAAAGGCTTTACCTTCGGCAAAATTTCGTTGACTAGATTTTCCAGGTCTACAAGTAAACTTAAATAAAAGGCCGGCTCTATTTCTCAGAACGTTCGGGAAAATAAACTTTCAGAACTCTATTTCTCCGAACGGTTTCCGTTCTGGAAATTTGTTGAAAATTTATAAGCCAATTGAGTGGCCCGTGTGTGTGTGTGTGTGAGAGTTTGTGTGTGTAAGGTGTGAGAGGGGGGGGGGGGGACGTGGAAGGATTTTTTTTTACCCTGAAGGATTTTAGTTTTTGCTGGGTGACAAAATGCAAAATAGGTTACTGCCAAGGTCAAGCAGTCTTGTTTTCTCACAGTACCTTTGGAAGGTATTTTCAAATGAAGTATAGCCCCAACCACAACTGAAGTATAGTATCTGAATATTCAGACATTTAAAAATCTCTCTCTAGATCTAGCTCTAGAAATTGAATTTGATGCAAAAGCTTCTTCCCAGTCCTCGGAGAATGAGAAAGGATGATGCCTAAATCTCTCAAATAACCCAAAAAATCTCGACATCGGAAACCGTTCGGGGAAATAGAGTTCAACTTTATTTTCCCGAACGTTCAGAGAAATAGTCACTTCGTAATAAAAATGTAAGCAAGCTGCAGCAAAGTCACATGACTGACATGACTCAAAGAAAAACTGATTGGCGCTCAGAGACTATGTTGCGGTTTGCCAAAAAAAAGTCTATCACTTTTGTTGCATTTTGTTAAAAAAGCGTCACTTTCTTCAGGTTCTAAAAGTAAAGAGGAAAAATACGTTTTGTGAAAATAGAAGTTGACTCTTTATCTCTAGATTCTAGAATCTTTTTCAAGATACGATGGTGCTAGTTTCGGCCAAACTTCAAAATGGCGTTTGTTGCGTTTTTGTCATCAAACTGTTTGATAAAAGGCAAAGAATAGTATATGATACTCAATATAGAGTCTGTGAGATTTCATCTTACAGCTCTATGAATTTTAAAGCCTCACATCATGTTTACTCTAAAACCAAGTAAGTTGCTATTTTCAAGTTGTTCAGTATGGGTGAAGAACAGAATATATCTTCATTTTTCTTGTAAAAAAAACAGAAAATAAATATGTCGCGTTTGGTCATGAGACTGGTTCATGATATGAACAATTCTTAAGAAACTTAACTCTCAAGGCTCAAGGATTAAAATTGAGTCTTAAATTTAATGGATATCATGGCCCATCCATTCTGCCCAGCATGATCTGATGTAGATGCATAGAGGGCCCCCACACATGACCCGATCCA